ATTTGAGGACTCAGTGGAACTATGTTAAAAGGACAAATTGCAATTTGTCATCAGGTGACTTTTTGGACACAGTCCAAATCTGTTGTCAGCCAACAGGCCTCCAGCCCACAGGACTACTTAGGGAGACTTCTTAACCTAAACCCTACAGAACTTTTAGCTATCCTATGCTGTGAGCCCTGCCCCTGAATGGTACAAGGATGGGCAGGTCTTTGTGTAGGGAAAAGAAATAATTGAAGATGTTTAGGTATTGCAGATGTGAATTTTAATTGCCCACGTGCATCTAGTCTTTTGGCTTTTCCAAAAACCAATTGGTTAATGAGTAAATAGAAGTAGTGTGTGTAACCTCATGCTGCTGATACTGATGTTAAAGGGCTATAAAATTGTACTGATGAATGTTAATCGTTTAAACTATAAGCAGTGAAACTTTCCTATGAGTAACACTAAAACTGTAAAATCTCAGCCAAGCAAATATCAAACAATTAGATATCCTTATATATTCAGTAGTTGAACAGGAATTTGCAGATATTGCTCATGGTAGCTCAGAAGTTATTTTGTAAGTGACAAAAATATACAAGTTAAAAGCAAATTTAGTCAATAGATGCTGTCCCATTTTATGTCAGGGAGTGAATGATTTAAATAGATTGTCTCATGCAGCTCATTAGATAGAAAGTTTTAGAAAATTAGCTAACTTTGAAAATAAATTCTATGTAGAGAAAAACTTTTATCAAAGCCTAAATTTGCTAAATTTACAATTAACATGATTATTGAAACGTTGGGTTGTTTGTGCCTTGAGTTACTTATATTAGCAACTAGCAAAAATAAGTAAGATACTCTTTTTTTTAGAATAATTCTGGAACCAATGAGCATATGATTGCTTCTATTTTTTCCTCTTTTGTGGGTTTGCAAACTCATGTTCATGGCTTCACTTCAAATTTCCACAATTCCTGCCTTACTTTTATTTTGTACACAGTGCAGGCCAGGCTGTTGTCAGTAACTTGTGAAGTTTGGCATACCTTACAAAGTGGCACCATTCTCGGTGTGGTCACAGATCCAAGAAAATAAGAGTATTTGGAATTAGCAACATAAACCTTGGCTGCCTTAAACAGCTGAGTCAGATTTAGTATTGATGAAAAATAATAGGCTAGAGTATTTTTTTTTATCAACAATCACTTCCATATGCTTTTGAGTTTAAAATTTTTCTCCCCCTTCCTCCCCACCACCCTCCCCAAGGTGGCACACAATCTGATATAGGCTATACATATATATTCCTATTAAACATATTTTCACATTAGTGATGTTGTAAGAATTAAAACCAATAGGAGGAACCACCAGAAAGAGGAAACAAAACTCAACAGAAGAGAAAAATATAGCAAATAGTATGCTTCGATCTGCTTTCAAATTCCATAGTTCCTTCTTTGGATGTGGATAGCATTTTGCATCACGAGGCCTTTGGAGATGTCTTAGATCCTTGTATTGCTGGGAAGGGTTAAGTTTACCAATATTAGTCTTCACACAACATGGTTGTTATTGTGTACAATGTTCTCTTGGTTCTGCTCACTTCACTCAACATCAGACCATGCAAGTCTTTCCAGGTTTTTCTGAAGTCAGCCTATTCATCATTTCTTATAGCATAATAGTATTCCATAACATTCATATACAACAACTTGCTCAACCATTCCCCAATTGATGGGCATTGTCTCAATTTCCAATTCTTCACCACCACAAAAAGAGCCGCTATGAATATTTTTGTACATGTGAGTCCTTTTCCCATTTGTATGATCTCTTTGGGATATAGCCCTAGAAGTGCTATTGCTAGGTCAAATGGCATATGCACATTTTTATAGCCCTTTGGGTATAGTTCCAAATTGTTCTCCAAAATGGTTGGATCATTTCACAACTCCACCAACAATGCATTAGTGTTCCAATTTTCCCACATCTTCTCCAACATTTATCATTTTCTTGTTTTGTCATCTTGGCCAATGTGATAGGTGTGATGTGGTACCTCAGAGTTGTTTTGATTTGCATTTCTCTAATCAATAGTGATTTAGAGCATTTTATCATATGGCTATAGATGGCTTTAACTTCTTCATCTGAGAACTGCCTGTTCAAAGCCTTTGACCATTTATCAATTGGGGAGTGACATGTATTCTTATCAATTTGACTTAATTCGCTAGAGTAATTTTTAAGGAAAGAAAAATATTTTTGGAACCATCCTATGAAGATAGAAGACAATTAGCTAGGTTTTTTGCAATCTAGGAAGATACTTTGGCAAAAACTAAGCATTTTAGAGGAATATCACAACTTTGGGGAAATAGTGAGGCTGGGAATTCTGGTAAGGCAGAGAAACAGAACATGATAAAAGTCCTGAAGTCTAAACAAGTAGAGGAAAGAAGAAAAAGGAAGGAGTGATAGGTGGCTGGAATTTGGATTTCAGACACCACCACCACCACCCCCCCCCCCCCCCCCCCCCCCCCCCCGCCCCAGACAACAGCTGAGGACAGTTTCTCTTTGAAGTAAAGTTTTAGCGAGAATATACTAATGAAGAATGCCATGCTGCCAAGCAAGCAAACAAGTAACATCATATATGAGAAAGAAAAGCCTGCTTAGGATTAGTCCACCATTAGCCACAAGAGTCAACCACAAGGGCTAACAGTCATACAGAACTGAGAATCTCAGTTATAGCAATTACAAAAGGCAAGTGTAATTTTTCAGTGACCATGTACAGTATGCTGTGTTTTTATTTTTACCAGTGTTAGAAATAATTATGATGAGGATGAAAAGAAGGAGTTGTCAAAATATAATAACATGGATGAGCTCATAAGGAACTCGCCAAACAACTTAGGTTTTCAAAATATATGTATAGAAGATGAAAACAGAATTGTTGAACTACTTGACAAGTAGTCAACACTTTTATCATGACCTGTGAACTGGTCCAACCATTCTGGAAAGCAATTTGGAATTATGCAAAGAAATTGACTAAATGTCCACATCTTTGCAGTGATTGAGAGGGAAAGACAATGAGTTATGTTTTGAATGGGTTGAATTTGAGATGCCTATAAAAACATCCAGCTTGAGATATGGATTGGATATTTAGATCAGGAAATCACCTGTATAGCCATGGTAACTGAACCCATGGGAGCTGATGAAATCACCAGGCAAGATATAGAAGGAGAAGAGAATCGAGCCCAGGATAGATCCTTCGGAGATAACCATGATTAGCGGGTATGACCCAGATGAAGATCCAGCAAAATCGATTGAGAAAAAATGGCCAGATATGTAGAGAGAACCAAGGGGAAACAGGGTCGTGAAAACCTAGAGGGGACAATATCCGGGGGAAAAAATGATTCACAGTTTCAAAGGCTCTAGAGATTTTAAGAAGGATGAGGACTGAGAAACATTTTAAAGATATGACCACTCCTGTGTATGGTTGAGGCAGACTGGAGACAGAGTTCATGGAAATTGAACAAGTCAAGGAACTGAAAAGTCAGGTCATTAGAAGGGGTAGGACTATGATCCAGGTTATGAACTTTTTTGGAAGGAGAGAGAATGAACTAGAGGTCCACAGATGTCAGCAATAAGGATCTGGAAGTAAACTTTAAGATTTCTGAGTGATGGCGGAAAAGGGTAGTCTGAAAGTGACCTTTTAGAGCCAGGAGGATACCAAATCCTTCTTCTAACTCTATGTGTTGGGGGATGTGACAGAAAGAACAGTCAACCTTGGAGAATGCCAAGAGATATAGGGTCTTTAGAAGAAAGCTAGATTTCAGGGAACCCCAGAAGATAGAAGAAATGTGAAAGGTGGAGATCTAGGATCAATGGAAGATTAACAATAGAGGATTTCAAGAGGGAAGGGAAGAGAGAGGAGGCTAGGTACTAGAGAGGGCTAGAGTTGAGTTTCTTTTGCGGCTGAGGTGGTAGCTACCAGAACCTATTGCCTTCCTTAGATGATCCTAAGTTTACTATGTGGAGAGAATGAGAAAGCAACGTTGCCATGTGTCCTTGCCTTCTTTCTTTTTTTCCAATTCTTTTTTTTTTTATTTTTAATTTATGGAATAACACAAGCATTTCCATAACATAGTATAATAAAAAGATGATTGCAAGGAAATTGCAAATCTATTATGTATAACTTGCTATTCCTTTTAAATATATAATTATGTAAACATATACTTATATAAAGTTATCCTGTAAATTTTTTTTTACTTTTTTTCTTCCCTGCCTCCCCTCCCTAGAGATGGCTACCATTAGACACAAATAGGTGTGTGTGTGTGTGTGTGTGTGTGTGTTTAAAATTATTCTATACTTACTTCTATTTATCAGTTCTTTCTCTGGATTCTCATAGTGTCTTTCTTCATATATCCTTTATAGTTAATATGGGTATTTGTAATAGTCCAAATAACTTATTCACTTGTAGTTGCTGTTACTGTACCCAGTGGATAGATGGGACCCAGGAGAATAACAAGAAGGACATGAAACATTGTTGGGTGGCAACTGGTCTAGCAAAGGTGAGGAAAGGGCAAAGATGTGGTTCTGCTGGGAGGGGGGAGTGTAAAATCTAATCATGACTCCTAGATGTTGGTACCTGGGACAAAGACTCAGCTGTTCTATGTTAATTCTGGCTCAGGATGAAAGAATTTATTGTAGCATTTACAAACTAAGACTTCTTTTTTTCTCCTTAGTACTCATTATATCTCCACTGAGCCTATAAAGAACTGAAGTAGTACTATAACTACTAGTTAGTTGGTGGATGAGGAAGGTCATGATAAAAGCCATAAGAACCTGTCCTTGGGCAATAACTCAGTGGCTTTCCATAGGTGATAGTGAGTCAAGTAACTGTATTGGTGGTTTACATTGCAAAAGTCTTTCCATCTTTCCCATGTTCACATGTCCTGGTAGTATTTTCAAAGAGCTCTTTAAAATAGACCATCATCTGAATTCTACTGTATCTTTGAGCATAAGCACATCGCACTGACATCAGCAGCATTAACATTATCACGTCTTACCTCGAACAAAGACATATGCACTGTATTGCTCATAATATTCTCCCATCCGCACACGGAGAGTGTAGAGCCCTTCATCCTCTTTATTGAGATGGGAAAAAGTCAGTGTTGCTCGATCCCCACCCCATTGTGTTTGGACCCATTTTGATGGAGAGACAGGTGTCCCTGGAAAATAAAAATGCAAGCAGAAAAGTTGATTACTTTATGGTCACTCCCTATTGGGCTTTTACAAGAATTCTATAGGGAGAAGAGGAGGAAGACTGCAGGTTTGGGACATTGCATGTCCTATCAGACCTAGTTGATGCACTGCTGACTCATCTACCTGGGCTTTTCTCCACTATGCTATAGAAACCTCTTCACCCTGAAAACTCGCTGTACCAGAGAACCTTGGCAGGGAAAATGGTAAAATCTACCACATCCAGCCTTCAGGCAACGGGGACCAGGGTGGTTAGCATTACATACTCTATGACAGTAGCTTCATTTATAATTCTCACTAAATTTTAGTTAATTGATTGATTGATTGAGCAAGTCTTTAACATCCTTCTTTCCCAGCCAGAATAAGTTTCTGAGAATTTCACAGAAATCTCCAGAGGTAAGAAGTTTTCATACTTTAAAGTCAGAGAAAATGGGCCAGTACTACGTTCTTCAGATCTACTATTTCCCATCGCTACCTTGATTCCTGAACATTCTGATTGGCTCAGGGTATCCATGGGACTGCAAATTGAACTGGGTAGGGAGGACATTTTCCTGAAAGCCAATAATATTTTTCTCCTCTAAACTGAAAGTAGAGAAGGCCAACATGAGCAGGTAGGGATTTTCTATTAGGTCCTTTCACTGACTAATAGAGATACATCCTCATGTATTTAAATATGATCTAAGATTTGTGATACCTGTTCTAGACATTCATTCTGAAGTCTGAATTAAATCACCTACTTTGATAACAACATTTTTCTATATAATTTTTTAGACTTTAAAGAATTTGTTATGGGGAGCTAGGTGGCACAGTGGATAGAGCACCAGCCCTGGATTCAAGAGGACCTGATTTCAAATCCGACCTTAGACGCATAACATTACTAGCTGTGTGACCCTGGGCAAGTCACTTAACCCCATTGCCTAGCCAAAAAAAAAAAAAAAAGAAGAAAAAAGAATTTGCTATAAAATGATTTAGCAAAATGAAATCTTTATTTTCTTTTAGGCCTGAAACACTATATCATTAAGTGATTATTTAAAGTAGTGGTATCAAACTCAAATAGAAAGGATCCCTGAGAGCCTCATATTGACTTAGAAAATTACCAATTACCAATAGCTATATTGTATTGTACTTTTATTTATTTGTTAAACATTTTCCAATCACATTTTAAATCTGGTTCAAGTCACATTAGGGAGTTTTACTGGTTGCCTGTAGCCTGCTAGCTGCAAGTTTGATGCCTCTGAAAAGGCATAGTTACAAAACACTTGAAAGAGGTTGTTTTTTTTTTTTTCTTGTTTTTCTTATGGCCCAAGATATAATGTGAGCTGAAGGAAAAGACAGTTTTTTATTTTTGCTGACCCTGACAGCCATCTTGTATAGTCATATATTGCACGCAACCTGTAGGAATGATTCAGATACAATGACTACATCCCTGGTAAATTTGAATAAAACTAAAATGGTCTGAAACACTTTCTTAATCTATCCGCATGCTGATTAATGTAACCCTCATTTTAATAATCCATAAAATCAAATTTTAAAAGTCAATTTCTTAAAATGACCTAAAAATAGGAAAAATATTTAAAGAAAAATATTACATCAAATCATATTAAATTATAAAAAGAATACATTTATACTTTTAACTCATTACTTCTTTCCACTTATTACTTGGTGATTTACAAAACTCCCCCAAATTGTAGAAATACATTATTAAAATGTTGATGTTCAGCAATCCATACTATATCAGAGCTAGATTAGGGAACTCTAGACCACACCAATTTAGTTATGTCAATGCCTCAATGGATCTGCTATCTCAAGTGGCAGCTAAACCATAACTGTCAATTCATTTTGTAATGTCTGGTTTATAGTTACTATAACTGCAAGAACCAGCCTTCCTTTGTAAATACAAATGAATTGATATTACTTGCTGGGGGGGGAGGGAGAGAGAGAGAGATTGAGAGAGAGATATGTGTGTATACATATATATGCATGCATATGTACATCCTCATTCATAATTGCTTGCTGGCCTATCTCGTGGATGCAAGTTATTTCATTTCATAAATGTGAGATATTCTAGAAGTACTGGACAAAGGAACATAAAATAAATCCTTTTATTGTACCTATAACATATTTTGGAGTCTGGCATCTGACTCAGGAGAATGAGTTAAACCAGAAATCTAGGTCATGTAAAAACTTACTGCCACCCTTCATTTGTGTTTTATTATGAGCCCTCTTAAGAACTTATGGCCACTTGTATAAGAGTTGATCCCCTAGATTCTGGGAAAGTTTTTCACAGTCCAACCAAGGTGTTGAGAACAGATTCCTAACTCTGTAAGAACAGAACTAGTGAATTAGCTATAAGGTGAGTAAAACTCTCTTTGCCTTTCCTTTTCCCCCTTCTTTGCTCCCTCAACCAATTACAACGCTCAAAGACTTCCAAGTATAGTCTGGAAGGAGGAATAATATAATCATTCTGTCCTACATCCTTGGGCAAGTGAGGAAGATTGGGGAAAACACCACTGATGCACATCAGAGATGGGACCTTTGCTAAATAAAAACAGAAAACTGGAAAGTCACAATTGGTGCAATCCCGACACCAGGGGTGAGTTTATCATTGGCTCCTTCCTCTTAGGGGTACAACCTAACCCTAATTCTAAGCTTATTTCACTCAAAGGCCAGTGGTAATGGTTACTGCTGGGCACACTAGGCTTGTACTTTATGTACAACTACGATTGTTTAGCAAAGTTATTTCTGAAGCAGTATTTATCAAGGAGAGAGGTAACACAGTAAAGTGGATAGAGAACTGGCCTGGGAGTCAGAAGAACTGGATTCAGGTTCTGCCTTTCACACCTACTAGCTGTGTGACAATGGGCAAGTCACTGATCTGTATCAGGAAAAAGTTTTCATACCAGGGATTCCTTATACTGATGAAATCACAGATTTGGACACCTCCTATAGACCTCACAAAAGAAAATCTTTCAAGGACTCTTGTTTGATTTTAATAGAAAACACTTTGTTGGCAACCTAAAGAGATTTCTTATAGATGAAGTTGATTTTTTTTTTAATTCTATGAAAGACCAGGATTATAAGTGGTAGGATGAGTTACTCACAGGAAAGGAGACAGGAGTAATTCCTTAAGTCTGTGACTCATTTATCAGACCTGTCAGCCCTACAAAGTCCACGAGTTTGGACTTGGAGCCAAACTGGGTTGTTTGTAGCAAATGCTCAGGCCATACTAGCCCCCATGTCCATTCCTTATTTCAAACTACTGCCTTTTCTCTGGGGCTGCTTTCATGCTATGGAAACCAGAATTGATTTATGTTCTTATGAAGGAGTGCTAAAGAGAGATATCAGGATTTATACTCACCATTTCTGAGCCACTGAACTTCTGGCTGGTAATGCTTAATGTCAGGGGTAATAACAACACGACAGCCCAGACTCATTGTCTCGCCTTCTCTTCCAAAAGATACATCGAACTTGTCATCAAAGTGGATCTCAAACTTGGAAGCAAAGCCATACGGGGTAACACCAACTGAGCCCAAAATAACAAGGAAAGCAACAAAAAAACTCAGTCATTTATTTTATCTTGTCCAAATGAAATCAAGAATTTTAATAGGAGAGGAATGAAGGAGACAGGGCAGCCTTCGATAAGACTGATCGAATTACTTGTTTGGAGGGGGAGTAAATTTCAAAGGCTCACTAGACACCAACATCCCAAAGATCAGAGGACCGCAGATGTAGAGCCAGAAGTACTTCAGAGGCCATGGAGATCATCCTTTAACATTAAAACAAAATAAAGCAAAAACCATCCAGCATTCATCTGGAGGGCAGTATGGCTCAATGGCCAGAGAGTTGGCCTTGAAGCCAAGAAGACTGAGTTCAAGGCTCACCTTTGACATATTTTGGCTAAGTGACCCTGGAAAGTGACTTCACCTCTCAATGTCCCTATGCAACCCTCCAAAACTATATGTCACAAGGAAGATACTGCTCTTCACTGACAGAAGTAGTTTTCTTACCTGGGAGTTCCTGTACCAATGAAATCAGAGATCCAGTATCTATTTCTATACATCTAACTACGGAAAATCCTTTAATAAAGTGTCACGGTATACCCTGGATTCAGATATACTGTAGGTTGAATCATCACCACCACCACCACCCATGTCTCTTTCTCTCTCTCTGTCTGGCTTTGTCTCTCTATTTGTCTGTCTCTCTATCTATTTCTGTCTCTATCTACCCGTCTTTTTCTCTCTGTCTCTCTCTTCCCCACCCCTCAGGCTGAAAGTACAATAACTATTCAGTACTTTACCCCTCTTTAGGGAGCCTGGTGGCCCTCAGCTTCTGGTGGGCTCCCCATATTGATGCCACAGTAGTGTGGATACCCAACTGGCATAGCCCTACCACAGCTCACAACTATCACACTCAAATCACGCACCAGCCTCAGCCTCCTCAGTAAAAGTCACAGGGATTACGGGTGTGGGACACTATGGCCAACCATCAATCTCACTATAATGCAGCAAAGCTATGAAGGGGATATTCTTTTTGCCCTCCAACACTACCAGAGTTATAATGGAATTCTACTGCCCTTGGAGAACGCAAGAAACCAACAAACAGAATCTCAACAAATAAAATAACCATAGATACCCGACGATAATAGCGCCAAGAGTGCAATTTAATGTGTGATTTAGCAATCATATACTTCTTGAAAACTCTGAGCTGTCAGTTTACTTTTGGGGTTTTGGGTGAATTTTAAATGAAGGAGAAATTGAGCAAACTTACAGCTGAGGGGCATGGTGGAAGCTCCAGCATGGAAACAAGTCTCATCATACTCTCCTTTGTATCCTGGAGGAGACAGGAGGAAAGAAGGAAAATGAATCATATTCTTTCACCACCACCACCATCCACTTTTCATTTTATCATCATGAAAAAAATGTAATGCATATATACACATGTACATGGATGCATATAGACATATATGTTGATAAGCAACTGAAATAAAAAAAATCTTGCAAACCTACTCTTTACCACGATGGAAGCGTAAGCCGAAAGCTCTCCTTTAACATTCATAGCAGAAGCCCGATACTGAGCAGTGTCTTCAAAATCACATCTGAAAGAACATTATGCAAATGATTAGCCATAATATCAACACTCTTCTTAATTACTAGCTTTGAGATTAAAGAGCTTTTTGTTAACATGGGGAAATTACAAATGAGAGTCTAACAAATGGCTGGGGGTGGTGGTGGTGGGAGTATTAAGGCTATTTGTCTCAGATCCAGCTAATTAGAAGACTGTATGAAGTTAAAAGGATGTTGTATTCACTGTAAGGATGGTACCCAGGAGCAGGAAATGGGGGATGAACATTCTTGCTCCAGCAGTTATCTATTACTGTTGCTTGAAGGCAAAATGGGACTGCCCCAGCATGCATTGGGTTCTTTGCCCAGTGGCCCCTGTGCATCCTCACATAGAAGCAAAAAGATAAAGCAGCAGCAACTGAAACTAAACCCAGCTAAAACCAGACTAAGTTCAACTGTTCCATTCTCTTGAAGTCCTCCTATCCAGATTTCACCTCCATGTTGCACTTTATACCTTGTTAAAGGTACTGAGGTGAAAGACGTTTTCTCTGTTTTTAACTGAACCGCTAGGGATTTCATTTGGAAAGCTGAGACAGGCCCAAAGCCCAAAAGTCACACTCTGGCCCTGGGAGAACATTGGAAAAGTCTGACTCTAATCCTAGCCTCTGCTACCCCGAGAATGACATTTTTCTTTTCCTCTATTCATGCCTAGCCACATAAGCTGCCATCAGTTAGCCATCCTGAAAAGACCTCTGATCCTCCTCACCCTCAGATACCCACCCCCCAAAAAGTGAAGACCCCATGAAGAGGCTGGAAGGCCACAAGGAAAATAGCCAGCTACACCCCCACATGCATTTTCCCAAGTTATTATCTGTCACCCCTAGAAAAACTCTGGATTCTGCTTGGCTAGATAAAACAGAGTATAAAGCAAGAGTCTGAAAGGCCGTCCATGCTGAAGCCCAGGACAATGATACTCATGAGCCAACGGCAGCAGGGATGCCTTTCCTTTCTATCCACTCCAGAACTGGACTAGAGGGCTCACCCCTTGGCCCTCAGGCTCCCCTTCCCCTGACAACATAAGCATAAGCAGCAGGGGAAAGAACACAGCACAGCCCAACTCTACGTGATTCTATCCCAACATTTCTGTATCCCTTCAGAGAAGCAGAACTTTCCAGTGCCTTGTGAATATTTAGGTGGGAGAAGAATGAACTGATTCAGAGGCAAATAAGAAAGGAACCCATCCTTTGTGTCCTCCCACAGCGACCTGATGGGTTTTTCCTGGATCTGAATTAAGGTAGGCAATATATGCCTCTAGCAGGCCACCTCCCTCTTCAGTTAACGTGATTGTGATTGCTTCTTTTTCCTTTCCTTTCTCTAACCTTCTAATAAACAAAGGGGATAGACACCCTAGTTAGCCTGGACCCATCCTTGTTTTTGACTGCCTGTACTGACCAGACTGGCCTCTTAGAAAAAGTCACAGGATGGCAGTCTTTGCACAAACAGAAGCATCATGGGTTGCTTTGTGAACTTGCTGCCCAGCCTTGGCTGACTCTTTGTGACCCCATTTAGGGTTTCCTTGGCAGAGATACTAGAGTGGTTTGCCATTTTCTCTGCCAGCTAATTTTACAGATGAGGAAATTGACACAAACAGGGTCAAGTGACTTGTCCAGGGTCACACACCTTGTAAAACGTTCAGAGGACGGATTTGAACTCAGGAAGATAAGTCTTCCTGACTCCAGGCCCAGCACTGCACCACCTAGCGGCTCGCTTTGTGAATAATCCTATCTAAGATAAAGTGCTGGTAAAATAGTTGACAAAATATTTCCTTGACTTAGCACTTTATCAGTAGCTTAAAGCCAGTTCCCAGATGGGTAGCCCTGTGGCTGGACCTGGAGTCAGGAAGACCTGAGTTCAAATCTAGCTTCATACACTGACCAGCAGTGTTGCCTTGGGCAAGTCACTTTACTGCTGTCTGCCTCAATTTCTTAAACTATAAGATGGGGGATAAGAGTAGCTACCTCCCAAGCCTGTGGTGAGAATCAAATGAGATAATATTTGTAAAGTACCCAGCACATAGAAGGTCCTTAGTAAATATTTGTTTCCTCCCTTCACACTTCTGTAGACAGGAAATCTAAGGAGCATTAGAGGAGAAGGAGATCACTAGAAACCCTTTCCACAGTCACTGAGCTCTGCCTGGGAGCAGTGGAAGGGAAAGGTATTCAATATCTTTTGCCCCCACCTCATTACTTCTGCTCTTGCTCCACAGCGGCTGATCTAAAACATGGTTCCTCACGGGTATGGTTACAACAGTCTCTCAGTTCTGTTTTGTCTCTAATTACAGTTCTGGGGGGCTATAGACCAATGCTTCCCAGTCCAAACTATACTGTAGCCTGTGAAAATATCTAAATTCTCTACTCTGTACTGTTTGCCTTCTATCATTAAAGTCTTCTGGAAATCTGGAGGGAGTGAAGGGGAAGGCAGGTAGCAGAAGAAAACATTGGAGTAGATGTCGCTATGGAATGTCCTTCTTATCATGGTGGCCCCCAAGATTATCACTGTACACACACACACACACACACACACACACACACACACACACACACACA